CATAAGGGAGTTGGTTTAGATTATACCTGACTAGCCCAGTGGTTTTTCCTACTTTCTTCAGTTTAAGCTTGAGTTTTGATATGAGAAGTTGATGATCAGAGCCACAATCAGCTCCAGGTCTTATTTTTGCTGACTGTATAGAGCTTCTCTATTTTTGGCTGCAGAGAACATAATCAATCTAATTTTGGTATTGCCCATCTGGTGATGTCCTCTTCTGTTGTTGGAAAAGAGTGTTTGTGATGACCAGTTTCTTCTCTTGACAAAACTCTATTAGCCTTTGCCCTACTTCATTTTGAATTCCAAGGCCAAACTTACTTGTTGTTCCTTTTATCTCCCGAGTCTCTATTTTAGCATTCCAATCCCCTGTAATGAGAAGAACATCTTTCTTTCGTGTCAGTTCTAGAAGGTGTTGTAAGTCTTCATAGAACTGGTCAATTTCAGCCTCTTCAGCATCAGTGGTTGGTGCATTAACTTGGATTCCTGTGATGTTGAAAGGTTTGCTTGGGATTCGTATTGAAACCATTCTAGCATTTTTGAGATTGCATCCCAGTCCAGCTTTTCCCATTCTTTTGATGACTATGAGGGCTACTCCATTCTTGCCCACAGTAGTAGATATGATAATCGTCTGAATTGAATTCACCTATTCCCATCCATTTTAGTTCACTGACGCCCAGGATGTCAGTGTTTATTCTTGCCATCTCCTGTTTGACCACATCCAGCTTACCAAGGTTACTAAGGTTCATAGGTTCCTATGTATTTTTCCTTCCAGCATTGGACTTTCCTTTCACTTCCAGGCACGTCCGAATCTGAGCATCCTTTCGGCTTTGGCCCAACCACTTCATTAGCTCTGGAGCTACTTGTCGTTGTCCTCCACTTTTCCTCAGTAGCATGTTGGACACCTTCCGACATGAGGGGCTAATCTTCCAGCATCATATCTTTTAGCCTTTTGTTTCTGTCCATGGAGTTTTCTTGGCAAAGATACTGGAGTGGCTTGCCAGTTCCTGTTCCAGGTGGATCGCGTTTAGTCAGAACTCTCCACTATGACCTGTCCATCTTGCCTGCACGGCATAGCCCATACCTTCTCTGAATTACTTCACCACGACAAGGCAGCAATCCATTAAGGGGGCTCAGAATAATAAGTCTGTGTTATACAGATTTACAGAAAAGACTCTGACAGTAGATCATAAAAACCTATCATTATAAAAGAAATGGGTATAGCACAGCAATGGATTGTTCTGATACAAAACTTATATTCTGGACAAGAGATCATTCTTGGGCAGAATATGAGAAACAGAATGATTTCATGTTGGCAAATATTTCAGACAAAGAAGTATTTTAGAAGGGTGCAAATTTCATCCCCTATTGTTCAGTCTATAAACAGAACATACCAAACAAAAAACTGGATTAGATTCAGATAAGGGTGATGGAAACTGGTGAAACAAATATCAATGATTTATGATATGCAGATGATAATACTGATAGAAAGTTGCAATGACTTGAAGTAACTGAGGAAACTAAACAAAGAAAGCACAAAGGTAATATTAGAGTTGAATATGAAGAACATAAAAATAATAACCGTAGAAGAATTATCTAACGTTAATAATGATGAATAAAAAATGTTAAAGGTATTCTGTACAATCATAAATCCAAATGGAGACTAGCCATGATATCAGATGAATACAGGCTTGGAAACACAGCTATGAAGGCATTAGAAAAGGCCCTAAAGTGTAAGGGTATGTCACTCAAGGAGAGTTTTCTAGATACCATGGAACTCCAGAAAGACAAATAAGTTGGTTCTAGATTAAACCAATTCTAAACTCTCGCTGAGATATTTTATTTAGTTATTTATTTAAAGTATTTTTATTTCACCTTTCTCCTTTAAAAGGACACAGTGTAGCTAAGCTGAAGACATCATACTTTGGATACAGTATATCATGAGAAGAAAAATTATTGTTGTCATTGGAAAAGACAATAATATTAGGAAAAGCAGCAGGCAGTAGAAACAAAGGAAGACTAAACATGGGATGAATTGACTTAATAAGGAATCTACAGCCTTTAGCATGCAAGACATGAGCAGGCTGCAAATGACAGGACTAGACATGGGCACTTCATATTTGTAATCTTGGGATATGAGTGAGAAGACTTCCCATCCTGCCTTTGCACCATGGTGGTTGGCTGCATGGGGAGGCAGGGAAGTGCCAGGCAGGCTCATTCCACAACGGGCATGGCAACAAAAATGGAAGAGGGTTGCACCACATGGAGCCCAGTGAGTGGACCTGATTCTGGGGGAAGGAATACAAATATGAAGTGCCCCATGTTTAGATAGAACTTTTGAAGATCAATGGTTCATAGAGTCATCTTACATCAGAACCAACTCAAAGGCACATAACAATTGTGCTATCTTCAATCAACGTCAACATATCTGATGTTGACACTTCCATCTAAGAAAGATGTGTCTGGCAAATTCCATCTTACCAACAACTATTGGACTTCACATCTAAGAGTAACTTTCCTGGCAAAATCCGTCTTGCCAAGAAACTTTTGGACTTAACATCTAAAAGTAACTTTCCTGGCAAAATCCACCTTGCTGTGAACTTTTGGACTTTATGTCTTCGCACTGGTACAGCCCAATGAAGTGGTCTTTTGATCCATGAAAGCTCACATATTGTATGATGATTTTAAAGTGGTCTATAAAGGCATTGCCTATTGTATTAGTATATAATTTTGCTTTGACCACACAGCTCCCCTTTTATTTCAACATATCTTACGTCACTCTCTCCCCACCAAGTTTTTGACAAACATAACAAGGGCCTTTCCAATGGCACAATCCATCCTCTTCAGATCAAACTGACATCTTCTCAGCCATGTCTTAACTCATTCTTGCAAGGCAACATCAGGGGATTGCACTCTAGGACATTTGAAAGACACAGGTCAAATCATAGCTCTGTGGAGGGGCATACTGTTTGACTGGCAAAGGCCTCACATCTGGTCCCTGACATTCTAGTTATAACTCGGGAAGACTTCCTTTCTGAGGTGTTTTATAGGCAGTAATGGGCTATATAGACCTATTGATCTGCCTGGTGTGGTATAAGTCTGTTCATATTCAACACACACTGCTTTTTGAAACTGAGCTTTTTTTATTATGCCTATCTTTGTGGGTGACTGTGATGGCAAATAATACAGAAAAGGCTCTGGGACTGGGATGATCAGATTTGTATTATTTTCTGTTGACTACATAATGTACAAATCAATGAGAATCAGCCTGTCTTTTTTTTTTTTTTTTGCAGCAAATGTTATTTGCATTGACTCAGATAGTGTGATCACTTGTGATGATAGAGAGGAGTTTATAGCCATTCTATTTCAAACCACTCCACATGGTTACAGCAGCAGTAAGGCAAGGCAGCAGGCCCATTCAGATGGGAAGTTGACTGCCTTTTGAATCCTTCTCCCCAAACCCAGTGCATGGATCTACTTTCCTTCCCCTTTTTCTTTCTTTCTTTCTTTCTTTCTTTCTTTCTTTCTTTCTTTCTTTCTTTCTTTCTTTCTTTCTTTCTTTCTTGGGGGGGGGAACTAGGGCATGTAGGAGACTGAAGGGGAAAAAAGAGTGAGAAGCCAGGAGAAAGCAAGGGGGAAAATGCTAATCAACATTTCTTTGCAACTTGTTAAGACGCTCTGCTATAGCCTTGCCTCTTGCGAATCTGGACCACCACAGCAGAGCTTACCTCAACAAGCTGCAAACAAGGCTGATTGCCTATTTCCTCTTCCCCCCCCGCCTCAATCTCTGCTGACTCTTGTATGATTAGGCTAAACCAAATTCACCCATGGAAACCCAAGTTCGTGGATTGCCTTCATAATAGATCCATGTGCATTTTTCATGTTGTGTACTTCCACCCTTTCTCAGAGGTTTGATATTACAAGCTGCAAGTAACGCGGTTATCTGTAAATAGTTACACTGGAAATAGGAAGGATATAAAAAAAGTTATATCTCAGAAATAATGTAATCCATGGTATCTCATCTTCCTTGGTGTAAGAAATAACAATGCCTGAATACTTTTTCTACTTATTGTTTCTTTAGGCTCCTCAACCTCACCTCCTGGCTCGCGCGAGTGACACGGGTAGAACTTGGTTGCATAGAACTGAATACTTTTTCTACTTATTGTTTCTCGCCAATTTAGTGGATTTCTTTGCTGCTCTTCTTAACAGCATTTAGATGATACATTTCAAAGCTAATTCTCAAGTCCGTCCTGGTTATTTTAAAACAAAATCCCTTTTCATCCAATGTCTATTCATTTACCACACATATTAAGTCGGTATTACGCCAGAAGAAATGAAGACAATGCAAAATGCTACATATTGCAAATACGAAATGAAGGCTGAAATCACAGACTTTGAATTTAATATTAATCTCCAATAGAAATAGAAATGTAGTATAAACACAAAATTAAGAAAAGCCGCCGTCTAGGAAGCAGCATATTTTTACCAGAGCAACTGAAGAAAGCAGAAGTCAAAACGTTTTGTTTAAATACTTCTGTTTGCTAGTCACTCTTACAAGTGGATACAAATATAATACTGTATAAAATATATATCAATGATCTGTTTGCTCCCGCTAGTCAACAGAAACAAACAAACAGGCAAATTGGAGTTACAAGATTGCAAACAGAAGACGCCGAGTAGGAAGCAAATCAGGCCGGATCGTGGAAAACCCCTACCCCGCTTCCTTCGGGTCGGGGTATCCTCGAAGTGGGAAGGGCTAAGGGGAGAGGCTCAGAAGGGAGAGCCTATCGCGTTGAGGAGGCGGGCCCGACTCGCTGGACGGCCAGGACGGAGAGAGGCGGTGGGTGGGTGTGGGTGTGGGTGTTTCACATGCCAGGACAAAACTTTGCACCCAGAGGGGAAAGGAGCGACTATTGACCCGAAGCAAAAGGGAGCAGGGTTGCCACTGAGGCGCGTAGGCTGGGGAGGAGAAGCCGGGGAAGGGGAGGCGGTGAGGGCCGACTTACCCGCGGAGCCACCGGCCAGAATCTGGTGGGACGCCTCGTGCCAAAACCCCGGAGCTTTCCCTGTCATGGTTCCCTGGCGCGCGCGAGAGAGAGAGAGCTGCGAAAGGCGAAGGCGACGACCGCCCGCGTGGAGTGGGGCGCGCGCTTGAGGGGAGGGAGGGAGGGAGGGGGGCCGGCTTGGTTCTTGATGCGGGAGGAGGAGGAGCGACGCGACTCCCGAACGTGAGGGCGGGCCGGAGTTGGAGGAGCGCCGCCTTTTCGTGTGTGAAGACAGAAAGTCTGAGGCGGCCGAAGCGTTCTCCCGTCTTGGAAATAGCGACTGGGCGGGAAAAGGAAGTGTGTGTGGGGGGAGGGGGGAGGCCAAGAACACGGTGATCGGAAGGTATAACGTCCCCTACCCTTCTCTTTTATGGCTCATCGGACCGCTCGTTGCTGCTTCTGACCTTTAAATGGCAAAATTGGGACCCGAGCCAGAAACGCTCCAAATGGCCTTGCCGGGAGGGAACCCCCGCGGCCGCCAAGGCCGGGTTCCAGAGGGCCAAGATGCCCATGTAGAGGCGTGAGGCGACTATCCCGTTTGGGGTTCTTGCTGCACGACCTCAGTACAGGTCCATTTTTGTTCAGAAAGGAGACGACAACCCAGAAGGATCCACATACACTCAAATGAAGCCTCTGCTGGCACCATCCTACATGATTCTCACGGGGGACTGAGGGCTGTTCTACATTTTTTAAAAAAAAATCTAAGCTATGTTCGTGGTGGCAAGAAATAGAATACAGGTTCATTCGTTGCTCAGCACACTATAAAAGAGGAAAAGGGCTCCTTGCTTCCTTTCCCTCCAGTCTTTGGGAGTGCTCTGCTTGCAGTAAAAAAAGCACCATTTGGTGCAGCAAAGGCATGGAGGAAAAACTGTTCCCTCTAAGAACTGCCTGGCATATATTCAGCAACTGTTATGATTGCATTCATTGTAATTAGAGACAAAACGCCAAAATGGTGAATCAGTTTGTCGATCCGTTGGGTTTTTTGACAAGGCTGGTGGCCGAAAAGCTGTTGGGTGAGTCGTTAGGCAGAGAGCGCAAACTAGGCAGCCGGAACAAACCTGGAGTTTAAGAGCATTGCCCTTAAAAGCTCAGAACTTGTTTGATTTGTCTGTATGTGATATCAGAACAATTAGCAGTGTAGAAATAGAAACTGAGATCAAGCATATAAGTGACTAGTCAGAGCCATATGCTGAATGCATGTCAGTAATCCTGCAAAAGCTAGATAGAACACTGTAATAACTGAAGAATGACTAAGATCTCTAGCAAACTGGGCCCCACAAGTGAATCAGCAGAAGTGCTTGTCAGAGAAAAACAGCTCAGAGATGAACTCTTGATTATTGCATCACTTGAATACAGAAGTTGAGTTAATCATCAGTTATCAAAACAGTTCAGCATTTCTTGTCAGGGTGGTACCTTGCCATACACATTCTGATCTAGGAGGAGACAATTATCTTTTAAAGCAGAAAAAAGATCCTTTTGCAACAATGCTGTTCACAGCAATGGCATTCTGCCAGTATCTTGATGACCAAAATACTACTGGTGTTACTGTAAAGTTTGTGTAATTTGTTACAGATAGTGGAGACTGCTGGTGTGCACCTTAACCCAGAAGTATAGTACCACCTCAACTGGTGGTACCAAGTTGCACAGACACAAATAGGATTCTAGCCAATGTCTCAATAACATAAAGCCTTTAAAAATGATCCTATATAAGTAATTAATTTACTTCTTATTTAGGCATTTAAAATGTTTTTACCTCGTGTTTCTCTTTTAAAAGAACCCAAGGTGGCTTATATCATTAAGAGACAACATTTAAAGCTAAAAACAATACAAATACTAAAAAGGATCAAACAAATACCACTCTGAGAAATGGTAAACGCAGACAATGCTTTAAAAAATTCAAAACAGTAAGACATAATCCATTTAAAAATTTCATTTAAGCAACCAGTTACTGAGGGAAAGCTTGCCTGAAGATAAAAGACTTTGGCTGCTTTCAGAAGGACAGCAAAGATGGGACCAGTCTAGTCTCCTGTGAGGGAGAGTTCCAAAGTCTAGAACAAGCAACAGAGAAAGCCCTTTCCCATGTTCCCACCAAACACACTTGTGAAGGTGGTGGAACCGAGAGAAAGGCCTCTCCTGATGATCTTAACACACAATCAGGCTCATGAGAGATGTGGTCTGAGACAGCTTGGATCCAAGGCATTTAGGGCTTTATAAGTTAGAACCATCACTTTGAATTGTGCCTGGAAATGGATCAGCAGCCAATGAAGGTGCTGTAATGGGGGTTATATGAACCCAGTAATCATCCCCAGTTAGAAATCTGACTGCCATATATTGCATCTGCTGGAGTTTCCAAACAGGCAGCCTCTCACCCCAAGGGTGTTACAACAATTCAGCAGGGATGTTACTAAAGCATGTGCTACCACAGCCAGATTAGCCCTCTCCAGGACTATTTTCAATTGTACAAATACACTCTGGCCACCACCAAAACCTGGACATCCAGGCACTGAGACAAATCCAGGAGTATCCCAAAGCTTCACACATGTATTTTCAGACAGAGTGTGACCCCATTCTTCACAGGCTGCATCCCTATTCTTTGATCAGCGTTTTGCTGACCAGGAGTATCTCTGTCTTGTCTGGATTAAGTTTCAGTTCATTCATCCTCATCCAATCCATTACTGATACCAGACACTGATCTAGAGCTGGTACAGTTTCCTTGGATTTAGCTGGCAAAGAGAGGAAGAGTTTGTTGTCATCCACATATTGGTGACACCAAATCCCAAAACTCTGAACAACCTCTCCCAGTGGTTTCATGTAAATTTTAAATAAAACAGGAGTCTTTGAGTTAGATTACACTAACTCTGATCACGTTGATTGTGAAGCACTATTATTGTGTGGATCTTGAAAGACTAAAAGAAGTGGGTTTACCACAGGATTTGATTTTCTTGATGTACAATTTATACTCTGAGCAAGAGGACAGTGACAGAATATAGATGAACAGAATGGTTTGGAAAAATGTAAGATGGATTTCAAGCTACAGTATATCACGGAAGTGACTACACCCCCCTCACATTTCATAAATATTTTAGTATATCTTTTCATGTGACAACACTGAAGAACAGACCCTTGGCTACAGTGTAAAGCAGTGAGTATACAGTTTGTATAACAGTGTAAATGTGATGTCCCCTCAAAATAATGCAACACACAGCCATTAATGTCTAAACCACTGGCAACAAAAGTGATTACACCAGTAAGAGCCAATGTCCAAATTGGGTCCAAGTGGCAGTTTTCCCTCCCTGGTATCATGAGACCCGTTAGTGTCACAAGTCTCAGGTGTGAATACGGAGCAGGTGTTATCGCTCTCACTCTCTCAGACTGCTCACTGGAAGTTCCATATGGCCCTCGTGGTAATGAACTACCTGAGGATCTGAAAAAATGAATTGTTCTACATAAAGATGGCCTAGGCTATAAGAATTGCCAAAACCCTGAAACTGAGCTGCAGCACAGTGGTCAAGACCATACAGCAGTTTAACAGGATAGGTTCCACTCATAACAGGCCTCACCATGGTCGACCAAAGAAAGTGAGTGCCCATGATCAGCATCATATCCAGAGGTTGGCTTTGGGAAATAGATGTATGAGTGTTGCCAGCATTGCTGCAGAGATTGAAGGGGTGGGGGGTCAGCCTGTCGGTGCTCAGACCACACACTGCATCAAATTGGTCTCCAGGGCTGTCATCCCAGAAGGAAGTCTCTTCTATAGATGTTGCATAAGAAAGCCTGCAGACAAGGACATGGATTTCTGGAGCCATGTCCTGTGGTCCAGTGAGACCAAGATAAACTTATTTGGTTCAGATGGTGTCAAGCATGTGTGGTGGCAACCAGGTGAGGAGTACAAAGACAAGTGTGTTGTGCCTACAGTCAAGCATGGTGGTGGGAGTGTCATGGTCTGGGGCTGCATGAGTGCTGCCGGCACTGGGGACCTACAGTTTGTTGAGGGAACCATGAATGCCAACATGTACTGTGACATACTGAAGCAGAGCATGATCCCCCCCCCCTTCAGAGACTGGGCCGCACGGCAGTATTCCAACATGATAACGATCCTGACACTGTGACATACTGAAGCAGAGCATGATCCGCCCCCTTCAGAGACTCGGCCGCACGGCAGTATTCCAACATAACGATCCTGACCACATCTCTAAAATGACCACTGCCTTCCTAAAGAAGTTGAGGGTAAAGGTGATGGATTGGCCAAGCATGTCTCCAGGCCTAAACCCTATGGAGCATCTGTAGGGCATCTTGAAACGGAAGGTGGAGGTGCGCAAGGTCTCTAACATCCACCAGCTCTGCGATGTCGTCATGGAAGTGTGGAAGAGGACTCCAGTGGCAATCTGTGAAACTCTGATGAACTCTTATGCCCAAGACCAAGAGGGTTAAGGCAGCGCTGGAAAATAATGGTGGCCACACAAAATATTGACACTTTGTGCCCAATTTGGACATTGTCACTTAGGGGTGTACTCACTTTTGTTGCCAGTGGTTTAGACATTAATGGTTCTATGTTACGTTATTTTGAGGGAACAGCATACAGTATTTATACTGTTATACAAACTATATGCTCACTGCTTTACATTGTAGCCAAGTGTCATTTCTTCAGTGTTGTAACATGAAAAAATATACTAAAATATTTATGAAATCTGAGGAGGTGTACTCACTTCTATGATACACTGTACAGTATATGCAGAACAGCATATGGGAAACTGGATTAGATTTAGATGAATAAATGAAAATTAGGTGAAACACCATGACTTAAAATGACCGCTGAGAAAGATTTAAAAAATGCAAAAGCAGGATTATGGCTACACATGAATAAGAAAAAAATCAAAGAAATCAGAAGACGGAGACTTGGATGAGCAGCTAGCTATGATGGTACTACTGTATAAAAATTCCTTATCACTGAAGACAAATGCCAAGATCATCCCGACTATGGTATTCATTGTTACTTTATATGTATGAGAAAACTGATAGAAAAAAACAGTCTTTCAAATTGTGCTGTTGGAGATGAGGTTTATACATAAAGATTGCATTTTTGGGGTTGATCACATTCTTGCTAGAAGCTAAAATGACTCAACTCAGATTATAATACTTAAGGGAAATCATGAGAAGAAAAGATATTCTGGAAAAGAACCGTGCTAGAGAACAATCATCCACATGTCTCCTAAACTTTGATTAATTGGCTGATCCATTGGCAGGATATTTGTGTCATCAGCAACGTTTTTTTGTCGCTGAACATTTTTTTGTAACAAAATTGTTGCACTGTTTTCTGCCTTCCTTCCAACCTCAGTTTGTTTAAAATATTTTTCCCCACCTTTCTCTTTAAATGAAGGACCCAGGGTGGGTTACAATTACTGATACACTCCCTCCAACAATGTGCGTGCGTCTGCTCGTCCGTTTTGCTTTCAGTAATACTACTTTTTAAAAAAGCAGGGAGTGCTCAGCACTGTAAGTCCTCTACTATAATTTCATCATTCCTGTCCTATCTCATTTTTTGAAAGACAACCATAGCCAGTTTGTGAAACCTCTGCGAGGATAAGCCCTTTGTCAACACATTATCTCAGCCTCTCCAGCTCTGTAAAAAACGTCTTTTCAGTTTTCTAAAACATTCCCGAACTCTTCATCCAGTCAGAATGACAAACAGAAACTATCTTGTCCCTCGCTCTTCTTTCCCGACTTAATACGTAGTCATCCTCCTTCTAAGAAGTTCCGGCGGCTGCGCACGTTCCCTCGAGGTCCGCCTGCGAGCTTTTGTTGTGCCGGTCTGAGAATAGAGATCGAAAAATGTAGAGTGCCGACTCCTTGTGGGTTGTCAACTTCCAAGTTCCCTTCTCACATACCATGGGGAGGAAGCGAGGGCGACTGCTGCTTTAAGGACATAATCCAAACTTTTGCTTAGGGCAGACAGTTCAGGAAGAAGAGGTAACAATGAACAGAGGTTAGAAAAGATGCACTCGTGGCCCTTGGTTGCCATACAGAAAGCACTCCCCCCCCAAATTTCTTTAACCATAAGGAACCTTTAGGTTTTTCCCCCTAATGGTTGGGAGGGTTTATATGAGAATTTAACTTTTAGCTATTAAAGTTTTCAGACATTAGAAATGGTCATGCTCCTACAGTCTGTTGGTCTGGAAAAGTGTGGTGGATCTCCTTGCTGTGTCACTGAAGTGGGGCTGAATCGGGTTTGCTTTTCCTGTCAGAGTGCCTCCACGCATGTCACCAAATGGGATGCCTAGTGTGCTGGGATGGGTGAAAACCCCAAACTCCCAGTGGAGGCACCCCCTCTTCCCCCACTGAGAATCTTCTACAGGCCCCAAAGCAATCACATGCAGAAGAGTTGTGTTCCTTTTAGACGCAGCTATGTTGCAGTTGCAAATACTTGGATACAACACCAAACCCTTCAGATTTTACATGAAATAAAGCTTAAATCAGAAAAAAAAGCCTTGTTCCTACACACTAATGGAAATGGACATCGCTTTCTAATCCTGACATTATGTATCATCAAGTTGCTTTGAGTTATGACGAATTAGTAACCTCCTATCATTAAAAGCCCTAAGTTTAGAGTTCCCAATTTGAAGAGACACTTGTTCAGCAGCCCGAGGCAAAGAGGCCGTCTCGAAACCAGTTGGGAGTCTGATCCAACATGGCTTAGAGCACATTATCAGGCCTATTTTGTGGCAAAATGGCTGGCGAAACGGCAATATTTCTCCAGCCCTACTGCTTCCTCAGAATGTTGTCCAGCAGAGCTGTTTTGGGTGGTCTGGGATCTTCTTCAACCGGGAAATCCAGTGGAGGTCCCAGACTGCTCATCGGCTCGCTGTGATGAGTTTGCCATTCATTTTGAGGGGGAAATTCCTCAGATTCGCAGTGGGCTGGGCTCCACCGTTACTGCAGAATCAGAGGATGTGTCCAGTGGGCCGTGCTTATGTCAAGTATTAATGGATGAGTTTCAATTGTTGAGACCTGAGGATGTGGACAGGGTGCTTGGATCTGTCCATTCTACCACCACTCCGCTGGACTCTTGCCCATCGTGACTAATTGGAAGATCTGCCAGGGGAGTTCACACCTGGGTCCAGGAGGTTCTGAATGCCTCTGAGAGAGGGAGTGGTCCTTACCACTTTGAAAGACAAGGTAATTCAGCCACTCCTTAAAAAGTCTAACCAGTCTAAAGGTTGGTGGTTAACTACTGACCAATGGCGAACCTCCCTTATTTGGGCAAAGTGTTGGAGTAGGTTGTGGCCGGGCAACTCCAGGCTCTGCTGGATGAAGCAGATTTTCTGGCTCCATTTCAATTTGGCTTTAGGCCGGGTTTTGGTACGGAGACTGCCCTGGTCACCCTGTATGATGAACTTTGCCGGGAAAGAGACAGGGGGAGTGTGACCCTGTTGATACTCCTGGACCTCTCAGCATCTTTTGACACCATCAACCATGGTGTCCTTCTGGATAGGCTGGCTGGGTTGGGAGTTGGGGGCACCACTTTACGGTGGTTCCGCTCCTTCCTGGCTGACTGTGTCCAGAAGGTGGTGCTGGGGGACAGTTGCTCTATCCCTCAGGGCTCGATACTGTCCCCCATGCTGTTTAACATCTACATGAAACCGCTGAGGAGTCAGCAATATGCTGACGACACTCAGCTCTACCTCTCGTTTTCCACCAATCCAGGTGAGGTGGTTTCTGTGCTGAACTCGTGTCTGGACCTGATAATGGACTGGATGAGGGTTAATAAATTGAAACTCAATCCAGACAAGACGGAAGTGCTGTTAGTGGGTGCTTCACCGGACAGGTTGGAGGGCCATTTCCCTGCCCTGAATGGGGTTACACTCCCTCTGAGGAGCAGGGTCTGCAGCCTGGTATAGATTACTGCAATGCACTGTACGTAGTGCTGCCTTTGAAGACTGTCTGGCAACTGCAACTGGTCCAGAATCGAGCTGTACGGCTGGTGAGTGGTGTGGCTACTAGGGGACACATCAAGCCAATTCTGTTTAAATTACATTGGCTATCAGTTGCTGCCCAGGCCCATTCAAAGTGCTTGTTTAGACATATAAAGCCCTAAATGGCTTGGGCCCTGGATACCTGAACGACTGCCTCTGTCCATATGAACCTACCTGGCAGTTATGATCTAGCCAGGGGGCCTTTTGAAAGAGCCATCCCTCAAGGAGGTAAGAGGGATGGCTTGTAGACAAAGGGCCTTTTCGGCAGCTCCCCCCAGACTATGGAACGCCATCCCAATTGAGATTCATCGACCCTGATGACATTTCGGCGTCAGGTCAAACCCTTCCTGTTCCAGAAAGCTTTTAATTGAAATAATATCAACTGTGGGTCCTGATGGCAATTGTTAGAGTATATATTTTAAGTGCATTTAAATTGTTTTATCTTTTTTTTACTGTATTTTAATTGTCGTAAGCCGCCCAGAGACCTTTGGGTAGTGTGGGCAGCATGTAAGGTAAATAAATAAAATAACATAAATAAAGAGAATCAGGGAGCTGAAAAGTGGACAGATTGTACAGTATTTGTCTTCATTGTGGAAGGGATGGTGACTCTTGAACTGGCTTTCTTAGCCACACTAGAGGCTGTTCCAAGTCCTCTTTTCAGAGCACGTTACCATAGACTGAAGGATGCCTGCAGACAAGTCTCGAGTGAAAGCCGCGGTTTCCTTTGATCGGTCAGCCCGTCTCCACTGCATTTTATTTCTTTTCCTACTGCGTTCCACTTTTCCTAGCGTTATTGGCATCTTTAGCGAGCCCCGTCTTCTTATGATTGGTCCAAAGTACGATGGCTTCAGTTTAGCCATTTTCGCTTCGAGGGAGAGTTCGGACCCAAATCAGACGTTTCTCCCAGGAGAAGCTGCTCTCCTTCTCGTCTGCCCACTCACCCACTCACCCACCCTTCAGACAAGTGTGTCTCAAGGACTCCGGAAGTCGATGGCTTTATGTGAGTCTATCGATCAGGAAGGCACAGGGCTCAGCAGCTGCGGCCCTTCGGCCACTAGAGAGTACGCAGCCGCGGCGCCGGATTCTCCTCCTCCTCCTCCTCCTCTCGCGTGTGTCTGGGCGAGCCGCTTTGGGACGTCCCGGCGAAGGAACAGGTAACCTCCGCAGCCTCTTAGTGGGGCCGAATCCTGCCTTGGGGCGCGTTCCTTGACTTTACTTATTCAGTGGTGCTGTTCCTTTAAGCGGCTGGAGGATCCCCATCAGCAGCCAGCTCGGACTCTTTGGAATCAGGGGCTCCGCAGCAGCAGGTTGCAGCCCTCGTGGGATTGTAACGGGAGGAGGACAGAGGATGCCGTCCCTTGTGCTTTCCTCACCATAATAAAGGCAACCCTGTAATAACATGCTTGATTTATTTGATAGTGTCGTCCCTTTGACTTCCTCGCTATTACACTTTTTTTCCTCCTTCCCCACTGAAAACAGGATGTTCGGTGGGACTTGCATTGCATCAAAGCAATAGTAACTTTAGAGTAAGTGCACGACGGTCCTCATAAGAGTGGCTCGGAGTGATTTTTAGTTGCAGGAACCCAGTCGATGCTCCGTCTCACTTGCCAAGAAGTTTCTGCAGCCCTCAACAGGTTAAAACTGGAATTTTATAGGCCCCTTGGCAACCCTGAACAATAATATTTTCCCTCTTTTTATGATGTCTTTGAACTGGGTATCATGTTTACATGAATTCTCAAATCCAGTAGTTAGTCTTAGCTAGTTATTATCTGATAATCCCAGCTGCTCTAATAATTGGTCCTAGGCTAGACCTATTATATCCCTCTCTTGCAACTAGAGCAAGCTCATCGGATCAGGGGGGGATTTGGTGAGTTAACTCTTCCATAAATTCTGTTGAATCAAATAGGGGGGGATTTGGTGAGTTAACTCTTCCATAAGTTCTGTTGAATCAAATAGATACACTCTAAAGCGAGTGGCAACTAAAATAGGCCCATTTGTATCAACACAATTGATTTAGGATTTGACCGTTTAAATTCTTGCTCATTCAGTGGGCCTGCTCTAGTCTAGTTTACTACCTAAGCAACAGCACGTCAGCTACTGAGTCATGGGAAAGTTATTAAGTGTTAAGTTATTGAGTTCACATTAAAAATATTCTCACTGATATACTGGACCAAGTACTAATAGGTTAATTTAATCTATTAGCATTAGATTGATAGCATTTTAGTAATTATACAATAGAATTGGCCCTTCCCACTCCAGTGGTTGTGAGAACAGGAACTCCACTGTTTTTTTTGTTTCTTTTTTATGAGCTGTCACAAATGTTACGGGTGAACAATGACATGCCTTTTGCAAGTCTTAAATTTAAAACTTGATACCATTTGCAGTAGATTTGACATCCTGTGAGATATGGTGAAAAGGAAAGCATTGCCAGGTAGCGATTTATTCCAAAGCAGAAAAATAGTCACAGGAGTCTGGTCACTGACATGCTTCTACAGTATGTGGAACTATCTTGGAGGCAACTTGAAAAATTTCTCCCACATGTAGACTTTATAATATGTGGGAGCCAACAGTTCACTTACAGTGTTGTCCTTATGTTCTCTGGAGTTGTGAGGCTGATACACTGCACATTTAGTTGTTTAAATGCTTTTATTTTTGTTCTAATTCGTACCTGTTCAGTTCCATACCTGAAAATAGAGACAGTAACTGTTTCTAAAAGTATGTTTTAATTTTGATGAGATTAATAGACAGGTTCAAAGAGCAGCTTGGAATCCTAGACTCGTTTACCTAGGAGAAAGCCACATTATATTCAGTGGAGCTTATAGCTAAGTACACAAGTATAGGAATGCATTGTTAGGAGAAATGGAAGGCAAAAGCACAACCCTGATTTTCATGTATTTGACTTTATTAAAGGGGGAAAGGTAAATATATAGGATAAAGACAACTGGTATGAAGAATTTGATCCAGTAAAACAATTAAAACTTCTCTTGTACCCGTTTTAGACATCGCTTGAATGCGATGCAAAATATTAAATGCTTTGTATCTATAAAGAATTTAAGTAAATTAGTGTTCAAGGCACTATAATTCCTCCTTTGCTTTTGGAAGGATTTTTTAAAATAATTATTCCCTACCCCATAAAAACATGTGGCATCACATTCTCAGTTATGTTGTAGATGCATACATTGTATTGCAATTAAGAGAGAGACAGATTTCAGCATACCACATTGTTTTTCTCTCTTAGCCCCCACAAGAACAGGTGTCAGGATTAAGCTCTGTTTAAACAGCAGGTGGTATCCAGTTCTTCTGTTGACTGATCAGCTTCTGCTAGCAAAATGAGGGAGGAAATTGATTTCCCTCACCTCCCTTTTACAGTCTCTCAAAATCTCCTCAAGAGTTGTAGGCCTTCTGGAGTACTTCAAAATACTGAAGATGGGAGCAGATGTCTTTGGCCTAAATCCTGCTGGAATAAATTTACATGGTAGAAGTTGATGACATCATCAGCTTCTGCAGGTAAAATTTAATTTAAATTTAAAGCTTCCTATCCCCTTGTTTTTGGTTGACTCCCTTGGGCTTCCTTTTGCCATTGGGAAGCCTTTTGGGGGCTTAAGGTAGGCATGGTGGTGGGATTTAAGCACCAATATCACTCCTGGATCACCACTGCTGAGATTGGAACATCCAGCAGCAATTTATGCTGTTCAAGACTCCTGTCCTCCATCTCAAGACTTCAAATGGCTTCTCAGGGGCAGAAAGGAGCCTTAGGGAACGTCTGAACCCAAAGCAGGAAGATAAGAAACTTTTAATTAACTAAAATTAAATTTTATTGGCAGAAGCTGATGATGGCGTCGGCTTCCAGCATGTAAATTTAAGATTTTGCCCAATATATTAAAAAAAGTTCTGTTACCTCTAATAGCCCAAATCTTTATCAGATCATGCCAACAGATCACAAATGGGATAACTTTTGGAAGTGAATTGCCCCAATTTAAGAAATCACTATAGATATTGTCAGTTGCATACTGCAGTGTATGATTCAGTATGCAATTGATAATGTCTACAGTAATTTCTCAATTTGGGGCAATTCACTTCCAAAAGTTATGCCATTTATATAGCTGTGCAAGAGGATTTAAGTCACTCTGTTCTGCAAATGTTTTATTCTCATTCATAAAAATCCTATGTTATAGGGAGCTCCACAGGATAGAAAATTCCTGGCAAACATATATGTTTGTTTACAGAATATATGCAAATCTTCTCAGGGTTTTTCCCCCCCAAGTGGTATGTTCGAGAAACTGAGAACAATCATCATCTATTTTGCTTCATATATTTTGCTGGACATGCACTGTTAAAATATTGTAGGCTACCAGCATAAAACTCAAAATATTATAGAGTAGTTGGTCTTTTCTTGATCCCTTCTCCAATCCCATTTGTGCGGTCATCTCCATTACTGCGTTTTGAAGATTCAGGTCAATTGAGCAACATCTTTTCAAGGGTTTGTCTGTTTGCTCGTGTATCTTAAAATACTCTGTGAATGTTCTGGCCTTTGGTTAGAATTCCATAGGTGCAATCTTTACTATCTTTTATTTTCCTTTTTTAGTCAAGATGTTTTACGAGGATAAAGTTTGGAACCTACACAATTTGGCTTGAACAGAACAAGTGTTGGCTTCCTGCTTTTGGTCATCAATCCATCAGCAATACAGGTAAAGCTCAGAATTGCTCTAAGTGTCAAATAATAGTGTTTTTCTCATGATACTTTTTTGGCAACAGCAACTGTCAAACAAGGAAAAAGCCCTGAATGATGAATATGTTTGATTCTAGAGAATCAAGCCTGCTGTAATATTAAAGGACTGTGGGATTTTCATGCATTAAACTGAAATACTTATCAACTAGAATCCAACTGGTTACTTGTTGTTATTACGTGCTATCAAGTGGGTTCTGACGTAATGCTGATCCTATTCATTAGTGCTCCTATTGTTAACAGCTCTGTTTAACTCTTGCAAACTCGAGGCTCTGACATCTTTATTGAGTCAACCCATCTATTATTTAGGCTTTCTCTTTTTCTGATGTACCAGCTATGTTAGTATAAGTGCAATTATGTAAATAGCGGTAGCAAATTATTGTTAATTAACAAGATGATCACATCACTTATTACACACCAGATATCTTTCCCCCAACAAAGTTTATTCCATGGGAGCCTTCATACTGGAGGGGAGGGTCAGAAGTTTCTAATTTAAAAAAAAATGCTGGCTGATGACATAATTAACGTTAAGTGGCATAGCTATACAAACAGAACTTCAGATGTTGTCCTTTTCAGCAAGAATTAATGGGGATGAAATATATGTTATTTAGCTCACAGTCTTAGTTACAGTATTTTCAATAGGATTTATGCTAAACAAGGTTTTCACCCCTTTTATATTAATATCTATATGTTTGTTTTATGGCTGAAAGAAAATACTAGAATTTTATTCTTCCTTTAAACACAAGGTTTATATTTCATATTGTAAAATTCATAATTTTGCATTTGGATGAGTTACATTCATTGTGTTTAACCTTAAAGAGGGAGGGGTCTCAGACTTATCAAGTCGAAATGGTAAAGCTGATCTATGTAACTGTGGCAGTGTGCCTGCATGGTCAGAAGTGGTTACCCTTGGTTACTGGATTACGTCTCCTTGCCCAGTCCACAGAAATCAGAAGAAGAAGCTGTTTCCTACATACAAAAGGATGTCAAAGAAGAGAATTCCACTCTAGTTTTATCTCTAAACACCCTAAGTCTGCGTAGATATCTGTGCATACAGACTCATCAACTGGTCGGCTTGTTTTCAGTACTAGCACTTGAGTTAGATGAAAAGGAGTTATCACCATAAAGCAAATGGTGGATTTTTCTTGGGTACCACAAGCCTAATTGCTTGTGCCTGGCCAGCTTGAGTGTGAAGATCAAGGGACAGAGACCATGAAGTCATAGATTGACATTAGCAGGTAAATGTGATGAGGTAGTCCCATTTGCACCTTCAGCTAAATGTTGATGATGACAGCAATGATGATGATGATGATATGTGGTCAGGTTGAGTCCAAGTTATGGTGACCTGTCTAGAGTTTTTTAGGTTTCAGCTACTTGGAAGTAATTTGACTAGTCCCTCTTTCTCTTGGTGCTCTGGACTTACCTAAAATGGCATGGGTGGCAGGGCATGTAACCCCACCAGCCACACATACTCTGGGTGAACTCAGCTAGCCCCTCTTTTGGGAGGCACAGTGGAGATCTGAATTTCCTATCTCTGCAGCCAGGTAGTGCAACCCACTGAGATACAGTGGTGTCTTGCTAGACAATGATAACCCGTTCCACTGAAATCACTGTTTAGGGAAATCATCATCTAGCGAAAAGCATTACCCCATCAGAATGCATTGAAACCTGTTTAATGCGATCCAATGGGGAAGAATCGTCATCTACCAAAGATCGGCCATAGGAAAGCCGCTTTGTGAACCACCAATCAGCTGTTTTAATAGCTGTCTTGCGAAGCTTAGGTCCCCAAAACACCCGTTTTGTGAGCACGGAGGGATCTGTCAAAATCGTTGTCTAGCGAAAATTGGTTTGCAAAGCAGGGACCAAACATTGTCCAGCAAAATTCTCCCATAGGAATCACTGTTTTGCAAATCACTATAGAGATCACAAAAAGTCAATGTCTAGCGAAAAAACTGTCAAGCGGGGTAACTGTCTAGCGAGGCACCACTGTACACCTCTTCACCTGAGCTAAACCAGGTGGCATCTTCAGTCTACACAGTTGCTTTTGTTTCTTCTGTAGAGAGAGCTCAGGAAATCAACAAGATTCTTAAAGAAACAAAAGGAAGTGGAGCAGTGATGTACCAAGTGATTTGCCTCTGCAATAGGATTCCTCTGTACTTTGCCAGAAGGAAAAGGTAGAACCTGCCAGGGTAATGGTAACACCGCAGGTAAAACTTGAACTGGGCCTAGTTAGCACAGAAATCAGAGGACTGGGGCATATGAGGTCAGTTGCTAAAGCCCTGAAAATATCCATAGAAAGAACCCACAAAATAATTTGTAAATATTTCATTTAAATGTTAAATAGAGACTGTGTACATATCCTATAAGCTTATGGCTGGGGGAGGAGGGGAGAGGAACCCTGGGCTGACTCACACTGAGAAACATTAGTTTTTTAGATTGTAACCCTCCCAGATTATTATAACATTTCGGTTGTCGAAGGTAGCCCTGAGTGAATCAAAACTAAGGTGTCTTGTTATATTTCAGATTAAATAGAAAAGTGAGTCTTCTGAGGAGGGAAGAGAGTATTTATTCAGGAGAGGTTAGTTTCTCCTTCCTTGAAAAATCTGCAATGGCCATCTGGTCTGACATCAGTCATTGGTTGAGTGCTCCCAGCAAAGTGCATGTGAATCGATTAATGAGATAATTCAGTCTGGCTTTTGACAGTGTCTTGTCTGAAAGGAAGTAGAACTAAGAGTCAGGTGAGATGCAGTTGGCCTAATGGGATAGAAATCAAGCCGAACTATATGATTTTTTCTGTTTCTGACATACATGTTGTGTATCATTGTTCATGTAATTGAAGCAGTAACATCTTCTTCTAAGAAGGTGCTAGCAAGCTTCAGAAATGCTCCAGTTTTGGGAAACTGCATCAAATCTTAATAATAATTGTGTGGAGCCTCGTGACACAGTGGTTAAACTGCAGTACTGCAATAAGGACTCTGCTCACAACCTGAGTTTGATCCTGACCTGCTCAGATAGCCAGTTCAAGGTTGACTCTGAGGTCAGTAGATTGAATACCTAGCTTGCTATGAGGGCAGTGTGTAGCCTGCATAATCCTTCAGGTAAATTCAGACTTTTAGCAACCCTTTTCTGGGTTTTCTAGGTACTCAGAAGTGGTTTATTATTCTCTTCTTTAAGGGGGAAAAGTACAGAAACGAAAGATCTCCCTAAATAGCTCAACTGAGGATTGATCATGTTCATGGACTAGATAATGTAGATATTACCAGTGGAGAACAAAAACTGGAAGGAACAGCAACAATCCACTGTCAGCATTTAATAGGTCATGTTTCTTTTTCTGCTACAGTTATTTTGCCACCAAGCCCAGGAACATAGTGTGAAGGCCACATGCATGTTACATTGTGCACATCCTCACCCTGTCATTAGCTGTAGGGAACCACATCAGAAACATATTTACCCAGCCTTGAACTCCCTGCAAGAGTGATAGGCTGTAAATGTAATAAGTACAGTATCATCATATATTGATTTACATCCCATTTATGTTAAGTGTTGAAGCTCTGCTTCAATCTATAGCATTGGTGTACGTTTTCAATATCAGGTAATCACTTAGAAATTGTTATTCAGTGTACTGTTCTTCTGAAACATTTCAATTGCTACTATTTTATACTTGAATTTAAGATATAAATATCTAGTTCAGTGTATGAACATTTTTTAAAATACAGAAAAAGTATTAATACCAGAATTTTCTATCTACGAAAGAAAGGGAAATACAGATGTATAAAACTTCATTGTTGTCTCCCACTGTAAAGCAGTTTTCCCCTCCATTTGTCCATAATTTCATTGTTTGTATCTACCCACATATTGTGTAAAAGGATATAGATCCACGCCTATATCCTTATGAAATAGAATTTCCTTCTCATTTGGCTCTACTAACAGGAGTGCACATATGATTAGCATACTTTTATTGCTGTTAAAACAAACTGTGGTTATGCTTACAAAGCCAATAAAAATATTCAGGTGTGGCGTTGTAGCAGGGAGTTCTAATATCTTTATTGGAAGTTCTTGTCTGCGCCATTGTATGTCTCACTTTGGTTTCCAAATTAATCTCTTTTTGCTGAGGACGAAGAAACTAGCATTTACTTATACTGATAGGTTCTGGAGAGTGTATACCTCATGCCTAAGGCCAGGTCACAAAGGAATATTTCATTAAGTGCATATGTAAAAAATGAGGGGCCCAAAATATCTGTGCTCAATACTTTTGCTTAAGGTTTCCATAAATTTTTCTTAATTATCATTAGTGCATATTTTCTTGGAGGAGGAATAACAGAAAGCATGTATGTCATTGTGGATTAGTAGTATATTCTTAAGATGCATGCTGATTTGCAGACAATGGTAATAAATAATAGCATAGAATGTGTATATGTAAAATGCATCCTCTGTTCTGAGAATATTCATGGCATAAGCAAAACCTATGCAAACTCAATAATCCTGTACATGTGGAACGGATTTAGTTTGTAGCAGATCATGAAAAGGTGCTGTTCAGTCTCTACAATATCTGGAACCACCAGATGGGGCTGTGTACCAACAGTCTGAATCTAAAATGACAAGGAGTCTTGTGGTGCCTTAAAGACTAACATGTTTTATTTAGCAAAAGGTTTCATGGACTGTGACCCACTTCATTAGATGCCTCTATAAAAGTTTATATACCCACTGTATTATCCAGTTCATCAGTTGCATCCCTGAAGGGTTATGCCAGATCAAACCTACTAGTCTTGGTGAGCATTCGGGCAGAATCCTGTGCATTCATTCTGCTTCCTCGGCAGCCAATTGCCTGAGTAGCCCAGTGTTTGCAGAGCTTGTGCAAGGAATTACCAGGTAGGCTCACTGCACAAGCCAAAGCCTCATTGGCTTCAACAGATAATTTCCATGGACTTCTGGCTGAGCAGCAGAGGTTCGGTGGAGCTGTGG